CATTTCGATCACGCTCATAAGTCCCAAATCACCTAACGGAGCTAACCAAATCATAAAAACTCTGATCCGAGATCATATACAAACAAGTCAAATCTTGGTCAAACCTTTCAAATTTGAAGCTTCAAACTGAGAACGGATCTTTCAAATTTATTCTGATTATCCTGAAAACCCAAACCAACGATTTACATAAGTCATAGTACATTACACGGGGCTAGTCATGCCCGAGAACTGGCGAGCAAAGTGCAAAAGCTCAAAACGACCGGTCGGGTCGTTACATTGCCAAAGCTGGATGTTGCCTGAATGGCAAGACTGTTGGAGATGGACTCCATGTGGTGGGGTTGGCAGTTAGCACTGAAAAAGACTCTAGACTTGATAAGATTGATCTTCTGACCTGAAGCCTGATTGAAGGAATTAAGGGTATTGAGGATTGTGGTACAGTTTTTCTGATTAGCTGTAGCAAACAGAGTTAGATCATCAGCAAAGAACAAATGGGATATCTTAGGACCAAATCTACTAATGCTAATGGGGGACCACTCTTTTTGTTGGACATTCCTCTCAATGGCCCTGGAGAGCCTTTCCATACATAGTATGAAGAGATAGGGTGACAAAGGATCACCCTGTCTGATGCCTCTGGTGGGCTTAAAGGATTTTGTCTGTTCCCCATTTACTAGGACAGAGATGGAGGATGAGCTAACACAAGACATAATGAGGTTGATGGTGGCAGTGGGAAAGTTGAAGGCATGGAGGGTTTCCTTAATGAAGGACCATTCTAATCTGTCAAAGGCATTTCCAGGTTGATCTTAAGGATCATGTGAGGTGATTTGCCTCTCATCTTTCCAAAGTGGGTGATATATTCTTGGACTATGATAGCATTATCAGATGCTCTGCTGTTGGAGAGGAAGCTTGCCTGACTAGGACCTATGATGTGGGACAGGTAAGGTTTAATTCTGTTTACTGGGATTTTGGTCACTATTTTGTAAACAGTGTTGCATAAACCTATCGCCCTGTAGTTTTAAATCATGGATGCCTGGGGACATTTTGGAATTAAACACAGGAGGGTCTCATTCATCGATGGGTGCATTGTTGCTGTTGAGAAGCAATTTTTGCAGAATTGAATGACATCCTTCCCCACTATGTCCCAGTATTTTTGGTAGAAGAAAGGATGCATGCCATGATGGCCTGGAGCTTTGAAGGGTTTAAAGGAGAAGATATCACTTCTGATTTCACTATCTCTGAGAGGCATGGCAGTGGTGGATTCTTAATGTTGGATGGTGAAGGCCTATGAGGGCTATGTGTGGTAGTGTGTATTGGTGATTGAGAGTGGGATGTGGAGTCGAGCTCTTGGAAGAACTTAGCTATTGATTCTTTGATTTCCAGGGGCTCATACTGCTAGTTTCTTGATTCATCTTTGAGGGAGAGAATTTTGTTTCTCCTTCTTCTGTTAAGAGTTGATGTGTGGAAGAATCTAGTGTTGGCATCACCATCAGAGAGCCAGTTGATTCTTGCTTTCAGCTTCCAGAAATCTTCCTCATTTTTCAGGACTGGGTCAAGTTCCTCAATAAGAGTGTTCTCTATATTTTGGAGGAAATTGCTAGAATGATAGCTAGGGAATTTTTGTATCCCAGCTATCCTAGCAACCAATTTTTTGTTGTTGTGTGGAATATGTTGCTAAAGGTGAGTTTGTTCCAATTGATTGCATTTTCTTTAAACCTAGTGGAGGAAGGAATTAGGGTGGAGTGGATTGGGAATGAGTCCCTGATGAGAGCTTGGAATGTTGGATGGCTGCACCACATGGATTCGAACCTAAAGGGCTTGACAGACACCACTTGTGTGCTATTTTTTAGTTTGACAAGCAAGGGATAGTGGTCAGAGTGGGCCCTAGCAAGGTGAGAACATTTTCCTCTGGGTATTCATTTACCCAAATGTTATTAGCAAAGCACCTATCAATTCTCTCTAGGATAAGGTAGGACCTATTCTTGTAACGCTTGCTGGACCAAGTGTACTTACTTCCTTTGAATCCTAGGTCTACTAATTTGCAATTTGTTTATACAATTCCAAAATAGGTTGCTCCTATTTGTGTTAATGTGGTTGCCCCAAATTTGTCTCTAGGTTTCAAGACTTCATTGAAGTCCCCACCCACAAACCAACTACCCTTAAAGTTTTTGGAAATATCGATCAAGTTATCCCAGAGGGTCTTTCTAACCTCTATATAATTACTAGCATAGATTGCAGAAAGTAACCAAGGGGGGTTTGATGGGAGTACCTTGGCCATTGCATGGATACCCTTGGTGTTACTGCTACTTCATCTACCTGAAGGAAGGACTCTTTCCACATAATGACTATACCTCCTGAATGGCCTACTGCTGGGAACTGAATATGCAGATCATAATGCAGTTCCTCTGCGAGCTTTTTATGGTCTGCCATCTTGGTTTCCAACAGCACTAGTATTGCAGGTTTGTGCATCTTCACCATTTCTGAGCAGTGTCTCCTGAACTCGGTATTGTTTTGCCCCCTAACATTCCATATGATGAAATTCATTGGGAGGGGGGGAGGGTTTGGTGGGAGGTTGCTCATCGATGCTCTGTCCCTTCCCTGGGTTGGCATCGCATCCTTTCCCCCTGGATGGAGATGGCTTGGTCCTCATCACTGGAGTTAGGGTCAGGAGTGGCTTCAGTACACCTTGGCTTTGATGGGAGGATATGATCAGTCCACATCTTGCTAGATTCTTCGGGCATAGTAGGATCAGAGTCTCGTTGTGGTCCACACTGAACTCCACCGCTCGTACTACTTCTAGCCATAGAGAGTCTATCCTCGATGGGCTGCACGTTGACAGCGTCTCCTTTCCCATGGGTGTTTCGTGGTTCATCAGAATCTCTAAGGCTTTGGATATCTCTTTCGAGATATTCTCCCGTGGCGGTGAGGGTTGCTTCTCTTGCGTTGAAGATGAAAGGTCCTGTTGTGGCCACTGTTGAAGGACTTTGAACTGCGGAGTCGCAAAAGGGTCTGTTACTGCCGGATCTGGGAAGAATGGAATGGTGTTGAAGATTTGATGCATCATGTTGTGGACTGAAAGTGGGTCGTTGGTCTGCTGCAGAGGGTTGAGGTTGCTCTATAGCACCATCGATTGCCATAGTTGAGCGCCAAACGTCGCCAAACCCTTGTTTAGCGCTTCTGTAGTGACTCTGGCTAAATGGGCCGGATTTTGGATGATAAGGGAGATTGGCTGGTTTCCCAGCTGAAAATTGTAGCACAGTGCCTGGCCATGGAGAGCAATCTCCAGCCAGGACGGCGGTGTGTGGTCCTGCGGTGGTGGGATGGAGGTCAGAATGATTGGGGGTTTGGGAGGGGATTCCATTTTTGGGTTTTTTCTGCTTAGCCTTTTTTGGACTACATTAATGAGGAGTTATTGGGGTAATCAAGGGTCTTGGCTGATGATGGAGGTGGATCGACACCTATGGTAGTTGCTTCATAACTGTGTCTAATACACAGGTTGTGGGATTACGGGAAAATCCGGTTGAGTTGATGGCTGTTATCAAATCAGTTGCAATTTTTGGATTTCTAAGATTTAGCTCTTGAGTTTCCATGGAAGGATTTAGCACATAGTGTGTTTTTAGGGGAGATGTAGAACAATAGGGATCATCATTTGGGTCTACTAGAGTGTTATTGGGTTTGGGGATGGTGTGGGGCTCTGTCTGGCTATTGGGTTTAAGAATGCAAAGAAAATTTTGATATCTAATGGTTTTAAATAAATTAAAGGTGTACATTATATATCAAAAATACTATTTAAATCTTATTGTTTTAATATGAGGCCGTTTGGACATAAGAAATTTTTTCCTTTTTTTTGAAATTTTTTCACTTTTTTTCGAAATGACTCTAGTTCATAAAATTTTTAATTTTCACTTGAAGATGCATTTTGAAATTTTTCGAAAATTTGAAAAACTCAAAAAAACTGTTTTTCAAAATTTTCACTCAGATCACTCACAAAACTTTAAAAACAACCCAAAATTTTATTCATGTCCAAACACAACTCTAATTTTCAAATACCATTTTTACTTGAAAACTTTTTTCACTATTTTTTGGAATTTTACGATTCTTATGCCCAAACGCCCACTATGTCATTTCTAATCATGACTATAAAAAAGCGTAATTAAGAATAAAATAAAAATATCATAATTAAAAACTTACTGAAATATGTGAATCTTGTTAAAATTAGGGGTGTTCATAAAAACCCGAAAAACCGAACCAAACCGAAAACCAAACCAAACCGCCGAAAAAATCGATACTTTTTGGTTTGGTTTGGTTTTTGTTTTGAATTTTAAAAACCGATCAAATTTGATTTGGTTTTGGTTTTAATCAAAAAAAAACCGAACCAAACCGACTATAGGATTAGCTATTTCAAATTTATTATTACACCTATATATATGTATATTGTTATACAAAGTTTCAAAAAATTATGGTAAATATTAATAGTTTGCACTTTTAATATAGTTCTTTACCTTTACATTCTAGTTTGATTGGTAGTTTTCTTTTGTTTAGTGTAAGAATCCATTTCGTGTTAAAAATAACATATTTTTAATTGAGTCCTTAAATTATTCATCACTATTTGATTCAATTATCATCAATATATTTTGGTAAATAATAGATTTCTCAAAGGGCAATTGATTTGATAGTGTTACATTGAAAATATGGTCGCCGGAATATGTGTTTGGTAGTGTCTGTCTTATATTTAAGAAAAACCGAAAATAACTGAAAAAACCGACATAAACCGAATCGAGAAAAACCGACTTAATTGGTTTGGTTTGGTTCTAATATTTGAAAAACCGACATACTTGGTTTGGTTTCTTTTTAGGGAAAAACCGATCCAAACCGAACCTGAACACCCCTAGTTAAAATATATGTAAACGGAAAACAAGACACATAAATTAAAATTGAGGGGTAGTAAACCCACCAGTCGTACCCGTATGATGCAAACCAAACGATTCCTACGAAGTAGGGTGAGGAGTAAAAATATCAAAGCTTTAAAAAGAGGAATCCAATTCTAAATGCAATGTTGTCCTTTGGTTGATATTTACTGGAAATGTAAGAAGTGGCCCTTTAAATCAAGTGTTAGGCCTATACAAGTGTACCGCTACCGCCGACTCATTCTCTCTACTAAAGGATCACTCAGTTAGAGCACACTGTATTCAGTATACTTAACCAAAAAAAAAAAAAAAAAAAAAAAACCATTTTGATACCACAACTAGCAGAATTCATTCATTGCTTAAACACTTGCTACTGCACTGTAACAAAAGAAGAAGAAGAAGAAGAGAGAAAAAGGTGAAAATCCCATATCCCTTTTCCCTTTTCACTGTCTTTGTTCTAACCAGATCTCTTTATCCACTTTCTAAGTTCTTTTAGGCTGTTCTTTCAAGTAATTACTACTTAGGCTGCTCTTCTTCTTAGACTACTTTTTTTTTGTGATTAGTTATTTTTGCTGGTATCTTGAATTTTTGTTTCTCTGGATTTTTTTGGTTCTTTACCTCTTGTTATTTTTGGTGGAAATCTGTTCATGAATGGAAAGCTTTTGTTCTGTGATTAATTCTTGTTGTTTCCTGTTTTAAACCAGTTATAATATGATGGGTAGCTGTTGATTTGGAGAAAAGTTGAGACCCTTTATGGTTCTTTCTTGCAATGGAGACACAGAATAATATATCAGAAACCCTAGAGGAGGGTTCTGTGGAGTGCAAGCCATTTCAAAATGAAAACCTAGATGGTAAAACCCTAGAAGAGGTTTCTGCTCTCTCTAGATTAAGTGAGAGTTGTGCTGGTTCTAAGTTGGTCACCGATATACCGTTGAGTGAATGTGTTGATGTGCTCAAGAAGTTAGCAAATGAGGGCGATAATGTTGAGTTAGAGGGAGTGGAGTTTGAGCAGAAGGTACTTGATGGACGTGATAACGCTGATTTGGAGGGAGTTAAGAGTGAGAAGAAGCTTGAAAATGTGGATGATTACAACGATTTAGAGGGAGTTGAGGTTGAGAAGAAGTTTGCAGATGGGGATGAAAATTATGCGGGAGTTGATTCTAAGGAGAAGCTAGTGGATGGGCAGGGCGGAGTTAAGAGTGAGAAGAATCTTGAAAATGTGGACAATTATAACGCTCTAGAGGGGGTTGAGCTCGAGAACAATTTCGGAGATGTAGATGATGCTATTGACTTAGAGGCTCTTGGCCTGGAGAATGAGGGTGTTGCTTTTGAGAATCTGATGGAAGGAGACACTTTGAAACATGAAACTCAGGCGTTGGGGTCGATAATTCCGGAGACTAACAAAACAAAAGATGGTGATGTACTGGGTGCTGAATTTAATGAGTCTCTGCTTAATGGGGGTGAGGAGGTTGATATGGTTGATGCTGCAGAAACAAATTCAAATGCGCATGCAAATGGTTCTCCGAGAGAGGTACAATTCTCTGGAGATGGTATTTCTCTGACCGTGGATGTATTTGGTCCATTGGATGGTTTTTACCCAGTCCATAATTTGGATGGACAAGTGCTGGGCGATAGCGGTTCAGATTCCATGGTTTCCATGAAAAATGACAGCCCTATGGCTGTCAATGGAAATGAAGCAGAAGTAGATGCCAGTGAAAATCAAGAACACAATTTTGCTATGGGTGACTTGGTATGGGTAAAACTCAAGACTGACTTGTGGTGGCCCGGAATGATTTGTGATCCATCTACATCGAAGGATGCTGGGAAGTGTGATAATAGGGGCTTTTTCTTTGTTAAGTATTTTGGCAACACTACTTCTGGTTTGTGCCAGCCGTTCCAGTTGAAGCCCTTTCTAGATTATTTTGAACACATGTCTCGCCAGAATAAGTCTAGAAGCTTTTATGGTGCAATAGAGAAGGCTTTAGGTGAGATTGGTAGGCGTGTAAAACAGAAGATGACCTGTTTTTGTTTTTCAAAAGAAAATCAAGTTGCTGCTCAAAATCTTTCAAAAGAAAAACATAGTGTTTTTTCGGCATCTCAATTTGAGCCTGCAAACCTTCTCAACTTCATTAGATTACGTGCTTTGGATCTATGTAGCCCAGGTAGTATTGAGTTTACAGTCAATGAGAGTTACCTATCAGCCTTTAACTGTTCAATGGGTCATAAGCAATTGCCTGTCTATAAACTCAGACCAACAAATATTGCCAAAGATATCAGTAATGGCCAGCTTTGTAGTGGTGATAGTGTCCTTAAGAGCTGTAAAAGTGATTCTGATGATCGTAAAACAACTGAGGTGGAGATGTCTGGCTCATTAGAATCTCCTAGAGGTATGGGGAGCATGATATCCTGTTCAGAAACTGCAAACGGAAGTGCTGGAGGAAAATCTGAAAAAGGATTTGAGTCGAGAGAACGGAAGAAGAGCAAGTACCTATCATATCCTTATGTGAACAGCTGGAGCCGTAAGAATTCACTTGGTCAGGAAGAAGATGAAACTGAAGATCATGAGGGAATTTCTCTTGGTGGAATAAAGAGCTCTTCTGGTCCATCTATGGTCGCCACTCCAATTGGTAAATGCAGTAACTCACTAAGGAAACCAAGAAAATCTGTTAATTTCAATGGCATTTGCCATAGCAATGTTGGGTTTGCCGCTGCTTCTTCAGCAGAAGTGCTCCAAGAGCTCCGTCTGACAGCTCTTGATTGCTTCTCTCCTAGTCAAAGTACGTTTTCCATTCCAATTAAGGAATTTTATTTAAGTTTTAGAATATTCAGAAATCCTGAAGTTGAAGTTCAGATGGATGATATAAATGAAGCGACTTTAGGGTGTCAGGAAACTTTCGAGTCTCCACTGGGTACAAATGTATCTGATAATCAAGTAAAAGAACACCTTCCTTCTAGTGCTTTCCCCAAGAAGAGAGGTAGAAAGAAAATTGAAGATATAAATGCAACTGCCCTTATTGGTTCTGTAGAGACGGGAGCCGATTCACTCAAAAAAGGAATAGTTGGCAGAAAGAAAAAGAAGACGGCAACTGCAGCTGTGGTTCATCATGAGATTGGGGTTTTGGGTGGACTACCAGACTTGAATGGAAATAATGCTGGCTTGTCAGTTGAAAATATGCAGGTTATAGGTCCTGCCCCTACTCAAGGTAAACTTGAACCTAAGAGGAGGAAGAGGAAGAAGGAAGAGTTGGTTTCTGAGATTGGTGTATTGGGTGGACTACCAGATTTGAATGGACAAGTCACCGATCCCAACTTGAAGGGAAAGGACTTTGCAGAATTGAGTTCAGTCACAGTTCAAGATAAACCCAAGCGTAAGAGGAGGAGAACCACTAAATCTGCCATCGGGATACCCAATCCTAATGGAGATCATAATACCCTTCTGCTTAACTTTGGATTGGGTTCCTCAGTGCCTTCTAAAGAATATATCACTGCTACATTTTCCAGGTTTGGTTCATTAGTGGAATCCAAAACGCAGTTTCTAGATGATTCCACTGCCCAGGTTGTCTTTGTAAATGATTGTGATGCTATAGAAGCCTTACAGAATTTACAAAGCAGAAACCCGTTTGGACCTGCCCTTGTCAGTTATCGCCTCCGACATGTTTCAACTTCTAATAACACACACAAGTCACTGCTGCCCGCGGATGTACTCAAGCCCCTAGCTGCACTTTCTGGAGCTTTACCTTCAAATGGAGAAGGACCTGATCTTGTCGTCATAAAACAGAATCTGGAGGCAATGACAACAATGCTTGAGAAGGCTGGTGATAATATTTCCCCTGAGATGAGAGCCAAGTTGGAAAGCGAGGTGAAAGGCTTCTTGAAAAAGGTAAGCTCCATGGTTGGTTCTTCCTCGTCTTAGCTGATAATAAATGTAGTAGTTGTATCTAATTAATTAGGATTTTTATGTGATGCTAGCGACTACTGTTGAGAACATTGTTTGGTATTTCCCATGTTTTTATCTTCTTCCTTCACTACTGTTGATTCTCAGTAGAACTTACTGGACGTTCCCGTTACTGTGTTGTAATGTGGAGTTGTATGTACTTGTAACTTTCAACCAAGCACTTTTTAGTAATCAAGACGGAGCATGACGCCACTCTATGCTCCTCAGATAGCCTTACCCTGGTTACTGTCCTAATCTGGAGGCAAGCTGTTACTTTTTTTAATTGAATGGTTGTTTTACAACTTTGAAGCCTAATTTTTTTCTCAATTTGCATGGACAAAGTATATGCAAGTATAAACTAGCAAAAATAGATTTATAGCAATTAATCAAACCATATCTGAATTCGGAAGTAGTTGGGAATTATATGAACCATCTATATATATATCCATTCTCCTCTATGCTTGTTATATCCCATTGAATTCAATGATATTGTAGTACAGTGTACTTTTACGGTGGTTGTCAACTTATTCTTGTTTATTTTGGCATTGAAGCCGTCTATGCTAGTTGTGGCCCTCACATATGCGAAGCTAGCAGACCTTCAAAACCTACAAATTCGCTTTTCACCAGCGTGTTTAGGCTTTGTCGAAAAGTTGGTGGTCCTTTAAACCTCTGTTTTAAAGAGCAGAATTGGGGCTCGCCCCGGGGCGCAGCACTTGTAAAACGTCCCTGGGCTTATGTGTGGCGCTTAGTTCCGTGAGACTTACGCCTCGGCCATCGGGGCTTACGCCCCGGACACGCCCAACGCCCAGCGTACTGGGCTCGCCTAATAGAACTTTATGCAATTTTATGTAACTAACCTTGTAAATCCTCAAATTTTTTTAAAAAATCGTGGACTTTCAAAATTATTTTTTTCTTAATCATAAAGTATTAATTTGAGAGTATTTTATATCATAATTAAAATAAAAATTATTGCACGTTATCCACTAAGACTGCTATGAAAGTTAATTTTAAATAAATCTTTCATTTAAAAAGTTTTTATTTATTAACTTTTGTTTGTCTTTACTATATAATAGTCCGTAATTTTTCTAAATATTATTTTTTCACGTTTACGAGATACAATACTTATTAATTTAATAGCTCAGTATTAGCTAGTAACTATTTACAAATAATTAGTTATCATGGTATTGTATGGTGAATTATGTGTCACTTTATTAACTTGTTCAAACTTAAAAATAAATGATGCTAGAGAATCATATTTAAATTGTGAATTATGTTTTTATATAAATTCTCTTTCAAATAGAAAGCATATTAAATAAAAGGAGTATTTTAAGAAAAATATCAAATTATAATATCGAAATTCTTTCAAGATTTATTATCCTTAAGAGATACATATAAGATTTTGTATCAATTACATTACTTTTTATGTTTGAGTTGTAACGACGTCGCAGCTAATTTGCGATATACTTTTCATAAATTATAAATATTTAAATAGACTATTTATTATGATTTTATGATTGTAATATAATTTTTATAATTATTTTTTATTTTATACTATCTTAAAATTAGTAAAATTTAATGATCCATGGGACTTACGCCCCATGTCTCAGGGCTTACGCCTCGCCTCGTCAGAGGTAAAACGCCTCGCCTCACGCCCCCACCTTTTAAAACATTGGCTCAAACACATAGGGGGATATGGGGAATGGGATTCATTGCAAGACATAAGCAAGATATAAGCACATTATACAAAGGTTAAATTCTACAGGCAGTAAAGTAAGCATGGAGAGGAGAATTGGTAAGTAAACACATTAGAGTTGATGCTGGAATTAAAACTAGGACATACCAGTTTCAGAAAGAGACAACCAAAAGAAAGCAGAAGTCTTGCAAATAGGCCACAGTACAAGCAACAAGAGAGAATACGTTTTGAGTGTGAGTGTGGGTTCAGAATACTACGAATGTTGGTGTGTTGTGTTAATAAAAGAGCATGTATTTATAGTTTGAAAACAGGCAAGGAATAAGGCAAAGAAATAACCATGTACCAATTAGAATCAATCAGTAGAAGAACTTCCTTTAATTAAGGAGTTCAAACTTAAACGGTAATGAACAAAAGAGTATTTAAGGAAATAGATCAAGTAAGCATCTTGTGCAAAGTAGGCAATTAGGGGTAAATACATAGAAGTTTAATTAAGGGAAGAAATTTTGAAATACACGGTTAAAAAAATAAGGTAAGAACCAATCAGTACCCAATAAATCAAGGAATCAGAGATTTGCAACTATTGGTTCATGAATAACCAAGTCAGAAAGGCTAAGGAAAAGGTTTTACTTAAGAAGAATCAGTAGCAATCAATTAACCCCAAAAAAAAAGGATTCTGATTCGAACACAAGTTGGAAAACCTTTTGAAGAAAGATTTAAACACATATAAAAGGGGTTGTCATGCTAATCAGAGGAGTCTAGTATAGAAGAATTCATACACAAAAGGATTCAAACTCAGTACATGGACCCCAAGTGAGTTTGAGAGAGTCCAGGGCTCAAATAGAACCCTAGTCCAAACACACAAGACCAAACTCGCCAAAAACCCCAAATCCTAGGGTTTTCGACTTGAAGCAAATGCAAAGAAGAGGAAACAAGCAGATACAGTAGAAGGTTTAATGCAAACAGAGTCATGGAATTAATTCGAACCACAATGAGAGTAGAAGAAACAGTAGAGGAAAATATGCTTAAGCAGGCATAGTAAGAACACTTAATGAACATGGTAGAAAAATACAGTAGGCGAAGCATATCAAGTCGTAATGGAAGGCAAGTAGCAGAACATAGCATGTGAAAACATAGCATGTTAAAACATAGCACGGAAACATAGTAGAAGGAAGAACAAAATATAGCAAACATAGTAGAAGAACATGTGGAAAAAAAAAGAGAAAACATAAGAACATGGTAAAGACAAACATACACGAGAAAGGGAGAAGAAAGATCGGAAAACACATAAGCATTTTTTTCAGAAACCCTAAATCAGAAAGAAGTGACTTTGGAAAAAGAATTTTATAAAGGAAAGTTGGGGAAACCTTTTAAAAACTCAAAGTAAAGCATGAATACACACAGATCTGAAGAGAATTGGAGAAAAACCTCGAACAGCTAGGGTTTCAGGTGAACCCTAGAACGAGAAAGGCTTCGAAAAATGTCCGATCTAAGTCGGATAAGACTGGAAACAGGCTCAGGAGGCTAAGATATGCCGGAGCCAAGCCGGAGATGGCCGGAACCCTCAAGTCGGCGGAGATCTGGGTGGAGACCTTTGAGGTCTAGCCTCAAACCTTCAAATACCAAGCGCACAAGAGCGATAGGAGGTGAGTATGAGGGTTTCACGGCCTGAGAAGCCATGGAAACCGGCGAGAATCGAAGGGATTAGGGTTAGCTTGGGTGGCGGCGACTAGGGCTTGCAGAGAGAATGGGAGAGGAAGGGAATTCAAGGGAGGCGGGTAGAGGGAAATGAATTAGGGTTGGGGGGGTTTGGTAAATTAAAAAGGAAAGGGTGTATTTGGGTCGTTGACCTTTTAGATCAACGGCTATGATTAGAAGGGGTNTATCAATTACATTACTTTTTATGTTTGAGTTGTAACGACGTTGCAGCTAATTTGCGATATACTTTTCATAAATTATAAATATTTAAATAGACTATTTATTACAATTTTATAATTTTAATATAATTTTTATAATTATTTTTTATTTTTTACTATCTTAAAATTAGTAAAATTTAAAGATACATGAGACTTACGCCTCATGTCTCAGGGCTCACGCCCCGCCTAATGCCCCCGCCTTTTAAAACATTGCTTTAAACTGTGAACTTAAGGTCATACAATTATTTTTTCTTTCTCAATCGTGGACCTCCTTTTTCAGAAAGTGTATTTTGACCTGGACAACTTATGGATTTGTTTTTAAATAAAGAGCATTTGCTGTTTGCATTCGTTGAAAATCCTGGAAGCATGCACCTTCATTATAATGTATTGTTAGGATTTTGACCTGAATTCCTTATGTATTAAGACTCTCTTTCTTGTAAAAATTAAATCTCTTTTGTATGTCTTATCATTTTCTTGGAAGAGAAGTTTTGTACTTCTATAAATTGAGGACTCTGTTACTCACAACAACTATATCCACAATGTAGTCATTAAAGAGACTTGTTTAGGGCGAGATTCCTCTCAATAGTTTTTATATGTAGGTTAATTGACCAAACTTCATTCTAATATCCTATTTTGGTATAACTCTTTTGTCGTCGTCCATCGAGTTTTCCTTTATCAGCTTTCGCATGATGCCATGCTTTTTCAATCCCAACAATATTACCATTTAATACTACTCCCTAACGATGATGAAGCAAATAATGACAACTAGATACAGATAGATTCCAAGTCTTGGATTGACACAGATAACCGCTAAAATTATGGTTCCAGAAATTAACTCAACCTGTAACTAATAGAATAAAAGATCAAGTTGAGGTATTTGAAGCTCACAGAAGAAGTTAAGAAGCCATAGAATAGAGATAAATAGAGTTTCTATTTTCAGCCTGAATTATGAAAGCAATGGCAAGTAGTTTCATAAGAGGAATGTTATCCAGATACTAAAGTGAGCATTTGGACGTAAGAATTGTAAAAATTCCGGAAAAAAGTGAAAGAAAAAAAAAATCAAGTGAAAATAGTATTAGAAAATTAGAGTTGTGTTTGGACATGAACACTATTTTGGACTGTTTCGAATTTTTGTGAGTGATCTGAAGTGAAAATTTTGAAAAATAATTTTTTGGAGTATTTTACGTTATGTTCGTGAATCATAATTCATATAGAAGACGGAAATTCGCAACAAAAACAGGATAACACAAACGTTGTTAAAGATGAACATGGTCCGCAACAGCAAGGAGAAAGTGTTCTCTTTCAACAAATCTACTTTGATCAATTAGCCAAGATTTTGACAGAATCACTTGTGATCTACTGGTAATTTTGAAATTCTATGTGAAGATATTATTACTTTGGAAAACAAATTCCGTCTGTATGCTATATGACTGTTTCTGGAGAAGTATTTCTAAGGAAATTTTTGTATCAATGTGTTTGAATAGTTCTACTCTTTCTAAATTTTTGTTACTCCCTACTGTGCTTTTTATTTTTTGTTGTCACACCCATTAATTCAGAAAATTATTTAATAGCATTAGTCATAAGGAATATTTTATTATATTATCTTTATTTTTATTTTTTTAAGTGAGTAATAAATCACTATATGCTTTCTTGAAGTAGTAAAGGTGAAACTGTAAAAAGTTTATTAATGCCTTTTAGATTTTCTGAAGTGTTAATATTTGGACCTTTTTTTAGCTCATACAGAGGACCGGAGGAGTAGTATTTTCTTAGAGCTTGTTTGGAAAGCCACCTTGAAATTGAATTTAGGTGTAATTATATAGTTTGACATGTTTGTCTGGTTAAGTAATTACTAGCATGGAATTGGTTGTAATTAGAGAGGTGTAATTACACTCT